GCAGAAGAAAATCGATATTTTAGTAAAGTTTTAAAATTGAAATTTTTCATCAACTAAGGATAAAAATAACAATACCGTATTAAAATATAGTTTATAAAACTTCCCATTACAGTGTTGCAGATAAAAATATATTTTCAGATAAGCTCAATTAAATCTGTGAGTATTTAAAAAAGCATGAAGCCATATGGCATCAAAATAGCGAAAGGGTTAAGGACAAAATTTATTCAAAAACAATTCAAAACGAAGAGCATTTGCGGGAAGAAATAAATGGAGCTGCTGCTGAGATAGTCCAATTGAGTTTAAGATCTCTAAAAACGTCTTTTCTTAAAAGGTGCCGAGCTTGTATTAGAGTAGAAGGTCGCCAATTTGAGCATATTTTATCAAGAAATTAATAAATTTTTCTTCAAACAACTCATGTATATCTTATTTCACGTGAACCCATCCTTCACACAAAATATTGATAGATATACATAGCCCTTGTTATAGACTCTAGTCCGAATTCCGGTAAGTAACATAAAATAATGTCAGAAGCAAGTAATTATGTACCTTTGTACTATTTAGCATGTCATTTGACGGTAACAAGAGCAAATTCAATTTAAATCTATTAAATACATTCTAGCGTGTCTCAGTCCTTTACCCACAAAAGCGGCTATAACTTGTTTTTTTTTATTCAAACCAGTAAGTGTGGCACCTTTCTGAAATCTTTATTAAATGAGCAATTTTTTTATGTAATGTAAAGTTACATGATTCAATTATTAAAGGTTTTGTAAGTAGCTTTTTTCTAAAATTTGGCACTCCCACCCACAGGGATGGTTTTTGGAAGCAGAAGAAAAAGGGGAAGAATTCAATCACACTTCCTAAAATGGGAGCTAAATTCTATAAAAACGTGTGGATAATAGTGAATGGTGGTATTTTAAAACAAAAACGAATTTGATTTAATTATTTAATTTAAACAAGCTTAGTTACATCGAATATAACCCCCTATTGTTATTAAAAATAAATATTTCTATGTTTATACCAAACTTGCGTACGTCAGATGGCGCATAACTCGAGAATGGATGGTCCACTTTCAGCTTTTTTTTGTTGTATTTGTTTGCCAGTTGATGGACATGAAGAAGCTATTTGTTTGCGGAAAATATGCAATATTTATTAAACAAAAAAACGGCAAATAAAAAAATTTGGAGCTTACGTTTCTTTCGCGGTTATGGCTCGATTGTTTCGAATTCTTTGATGTCGCACTTTTTATGTTCTGGGGAAAATATTCAACACTGGCTTGCACAGCCGCAGTTGGCGATTGGTGCCGGACGAACTCAGAGCACGCAGCTACTGAACGACTGAGATAGGGAACGTGATCTACATCGTCAAATGAGAAGTGGCGTAATGGGGCTTTCGCACGAGGCGATTTTTCAGGCAACTTTTGCGTTCAACTCCCGCCGGGTTGCACGAAAAAAAATTTGAATGACTAAAAATATCAAAATATAAAAAAATATTAAAATATTCGCCATAAAAAGGCGTTTGTATTGTTCAATTTTGCATTCTACTTTCAGCTAATCGCTTTCAATAAAGTTGGTCGCCAGCCAACATTCGCCTCGTGCGTACACCTTTTAAGTGTGCAATTACATCGCGCCATTGACTAAACCGAGCTGTCGTGTGACGATTGGGCCTATGGATGCGGTTTGGCAATGTTATATTGCGTCAAAATCTCATTCGGAGACACCAGGATTGTGTCGTGGAGTACAATACCTAAATACCTTCGTTGGCTCATTGAACGCTTTACTTTACAGCGACTTGGCAGAATCAAGAGGTCTCCACGAATATCGACAAATACATTTCGGCATTTAAGGGAATTTCGTTTCTTAACATTGAATTTCTGTAGTCCAACGATTCTCACCCATTTTGTCTTGTTGGCGCCAGCGAATGCAGAACAAACATTTCTTCAAATTTAAAAAGTAAAAATTTCACTACTAACAATTTAAAAATGTTCTTAAAACTTGCAAAGAAATTTGGAAAAGAAATATCACTGTTTTTGTTTTTAGGAGTAGGGTGGGAGTGTCATTGATAAAATTAGAGCGAGAGAAAGTTTTTCTTACAAAACCTTTCATTATTGAATCATGGTAAAGTTATAGCTCAGTACATTTTTTTTCACCCGAGATAGTCAAAGTTAGGGAAGAAAATATCAAAAAGTTAAAAATCCAGAAATAGTCCTAATTT